AGAACTGTGCTGAAACAAGTTTATTCTTGTTTCACTGCAATAACTGATTCTGAACCTTCAAAAAACTACAGAAATATTATTTAAAATTAAAATCAAAAAGAAAAAACAGTGCAAGCCTACAAAAATGTTTAGGATACTAAAACATCATACATTAATTATGCTCATAATTAATTCCTTTGTTAACAAATTTCTGTGCATCAATGACATGTATGTATCAAGACCAAGAGATATATGAGCAATAAAAAGCAACATAGTCCATGCCCCCCACCCATCCACCCTCCTCTGAATCCATTGCCTTTTTGTTCATCTACAAACCCATTGGTCTTTGACACAAATATATGCTGAAAACCAAAATATAAGAGCCAAAATAATTGTGCAGTAAATCACCTGTGGCTCTGTGTACCTACTACTGTTTTTCCTTTCATCATCTTTATGATTTCTAGACAACAAACTCTTTTGATATGTGATGTTTTTAAGTATAATGAACATACAGCTCATTTTACAAGCATAGAACAAAACTTCAGCTTATAAACCAGTCTGCAGAAAAGCTAAATTAACAATTCTGACCATCCTCAGTAGAGGCAGGCCCCAGCATCACTACCAGAACAATGTGGGGCTTGCACCACCTCCCTTGCTACACATGATTCATTACAAGCTGTATTTTTCCCTTCATAATGCTCAGGATCAGCAGTTACTACACTGGCACCACTAGCCATACATTTTCCATGTGACTGCATCAGTATCTTCAAAATCACACAAAAGCACAGTGATATTGAAATTCTACTGCACCAGGACTTCTTTATTAAAAAGTCATAGTGACAAAGTTTTGCTACCTTGATTTTTGCCTTCAACTTTCTAAGACAACAGTTCAAACAGAAAAATAATTATCGTATAAAATGTTTACAAAATCTTAGGAAAGTTTTCAATGACTGGTTTAACTAAAACTGCTTATTCCACCTATGTTTTTCCAAACAGAGTACTCACTATCTCAACTTCAATCTAAAAAATGTGTTTGAACAAATCTGTTCTCCATTGAGAGAAAAAAAAATACAATAAAAATCAGCTTAAAATAAATTTATTAAACAATACAAAAATAAGCATGCTGGAAATCAAGATACATAAATAACATACAATGCAAATGAAAAATGGAAAACGAGACAGGTAACTTAACAACTGAGCCAAAAGGTACAACACAAATGCTAAAATAAATCTTTAAAAAGCATTTACATTTCTAATGAAATGTTAATGATGCTGACAAAGAAAAACAAACAAACAGCTAAAATGCTTGAATATCAAGAATTGCTATTACTGTAGCACAGGTGAACACTAGAACCGTTGCAGACTTCACACATGGAATGACTGAACCTCAGTGGCCCTGGCCTGTGGTGGGTGACCTTGGCCCCCAGGTGCCCTGCCAGGAACAGGAGCCATCTGCACACGTGGCAGCCAGGGCAAGAAACTACAAGTGTGGGCAAGTTACAGAACAGTTGGTTCAGAGGAGTCTCCTCCCAACCCTTCCTAGCTAGAAGCTGCCTTCAATTCTGAGGCAGGCTTCAAAAGCATATATTACAGAACTGTAATATATATATATATTTAAAGATTGTTTAAGCTGTACCCTAAATATTCTTATTATGCATATTAAAGACCTAGTCGTTTTCTTATTTCTGTATTTCTCATGCAGGACTTGACTCTACCACATGTGGAAAAATCATCTGTCTTCAACCACATCTTTAGAAGTGGCTTCAAACAGTACTAAAAATCAAGGTGGGTAGAATCAGACCAAGCAAATCCTGCAACATGCCTTTTCCATTTTTAATTAAATCAGCAAGTCATCCAGCAACATGTCACCACTGTAAATACTTTCCATTAGCAGCACAGACACATTATGTTCCCTCTTGCAACTGAGGGTATTTCAGGTAAAGTAGTTCTGCAGGATCTGAATACTTGTTATGTCTCTGTAGCTACTAGTTTACTGCAAAATCCTCAAACAGGCAAGACATTTTTATAATTGAAGACTTTGCCTTTATTTTGAGGATAAGCACTAACAAACCTAACCTTATCATCAGAGATAAGATTATAAAATAGTTAGTATTCAGCAATTCATGACTGACACTTATTACTGACATTTGCACCACAGATTTACCTCTTCATCCCAGTAGGGCATCAAATTAGCTGAAAATTGATGTTCTGTATTGTTTTGCTTAAATATTTCCATCCTAGGCTTCAAAGACAGGAAGCCCATCCTTTTACAATACTCTGCTAAATGAAGATTATTCAGGGTTTAGTCAGAGCTCTTGCAAATGTTTGTGCAAAAATTAACAATACCCAAACAGATTAATTAAGAGCAGCTTGCTTTCTTAGAGAACATCAGCTCTATTTTATGCATCTTCCTAAACTCATGAACATTCCAGATGGGTCAAAAAATGGCAGGAAAAAACTAACTCTGCCATTAGGCAAAACTCACATATCAACAGTTTGGAGTTTTAGATTAAAAAAAAAGGGAGAAGGACTGGGGAAGGGAGCAGAGAGAAGAGGTGAAGGTGTTACAACAGAATTGTTTGTCACTGTCTCTTAAAATCCTCTACCAGCTAATACCATTTATCATTGCTTGGACAAGTTTCTCCAGTTTGACAAACCAGGACTCTGTGTGATGTGTAATAGGGATGGGACACATCAGATTATTTGCAAATTTAGAGAGGAGAAAATTTTATAGAGAATGCTTTTCTAAGATTTTCAGCATTATTAAGAATCTAATTCCTGAAAGTGTTAAGAATTTAGCAAGTCATTGACCTCTGTTGAGAACTGCCTATTGAGCCTATCTGAAGCTTGAATATATCATTTGGAGCTACACCCTACTCAAGATACTCAAATTATCAAATTATGCAGCTTAAGAGATGCAGCTGCCTGTGGAAAAATGCAAGTCCTCTTTCTCAGGAAGCTGACAGAGCTGTAAACCCAAAATTATTTCCAAAAAATAGCAATTAATTATAACTTAAGAATTTGCTCCTGTGTAAATGAAACCTCATATATGAACATATGCACACATTAATAGTTGAAAAACAGCTCTAAACAGTCCTAATAAGATCTACCTATCTGCTTCCCTGTGAACATATTTCCTGCTCACTGCTCAGTTGGTTACCAGTCTAAAGCCCAGATTGCTTACATTCCTTTCCAGGGTGGAGCACAGCACTATTAGTAAGGCAGATTTCTGAGTCATAACTACCAGCTGGCAGCACAGGCAGCAAGAGAGACACTCCAAATAGCTGGGGCAGAAATCTCACTGCTGCATTAGTTAACTTGCAAACAAGACAGGTTTTTTCCCTCCTCCTCCTCCTCCCCACTTCTCCCACTCCTGCCCAGGCATTTTTGCTCTCTTTATTTTTTTCTTTTAATCAAACCATTAATAATTATTAATACTAATGTTGTAATAATCTTCACTAGCATGGCATATGCAAAAGGTCCATTTCTCTTCATATTTGAAAGCTCATATTAAAGTAACCCTGATATGGTAATAATATGACTCAGAACCTATCTCCACTTAATATACAATTATTTAGAAATTCAGGAATTTGCTGTATTATGCCAAATACTATTTTATATTTTAATTAATATTCTATCTTTACATGCCGACCCTGCTCAGTGGACACAAGCTTTTGCTCATCCTCAAAGTTCATATACTTAAAAATCTCAGATATAAACAAAAATAAACAGATACACCACAAAAGTGGTATGTATCTTTGAAAACACTAAGATTTACCTTTACTTTTTTTTTGGTTTTTTTAACTAAATGTGTTCTAAGTAACTACAAAAGTCAGTTTACAGCTTTGGGGTTGTTTGCACATGCTTTTTCCCCCACACACCCTTGAACTTTGACAATCTTTTTGGTATAGCATACAAAATTTACACAAAAATGTATATATAAATGAAACACCAGGTAAACAATATTCAAATCAAAATTAAATCTAGAGATGCTTGAGGGTTTTTAAAATGAAGAATTTAATGGAACTAGAACCCATTGGTTTAGTTCTGCTCTCCCCGACCTTCCATTCTATACACTACGGTTCTGGAGATGTCCTCGTTTGATTCAGGTGACACTTTTTTCCATACTGTTTCTTTTAAAGCAAGTTCTTGCTGGAGATTCTCATAGTCCATTGGTCCAAAGGAATGCTAGTTGTTCAAGCAACATACATTATTTATTAGTGTACTTGAAGGAAAAAAAAAATCCATACTTGCAGTCATAGCTAACAGACCCAAGTGTTTCAGCTCTTCACATAAACTGCTAGTTTCTCTTTTGCACTTATAAAAAAATTAAATTCAAAACTGGGTAATTTTTAGATGTATACATGCAAATAGAAGCACTTTAATAATCATTCTACTGTATTGAAATTTTCATGCCTTAGTCAAAACATTAATGGTATTGAAAACAAAGAGGTTTTCCTCATCTCAATCCCCTCACACTTGTGTCATTTGTAAATGTAGCTGGAGTGGATTCAGTTCATTCCCAGACACTGCTTATGCTGCTCCCTAAGTAGGAGACTCTTGTCTGCAGCACTATTCATGCCTGAATTCACTGCCTCTGCAACTCTCAGCAGGTCATGTGGTGTCAGAGATATCCTTGTGAAAATACAGCTAAACACAGATCTCGTGCGTTGCAGCACACACCAGAAAGGCTGAGCCCAGCAGCTGGTCAAGTCTTTATTAAAGGCAACCAGTACAGTAAAACTCTTTGCAACTTCCATCAGATACCATCTACCTAATCTAACAAGGGGGATTAACTGCATGAAATGGAGTTACAAATTTAGTAATGAATTCTCCTTACACAAAACCCTGTGACAGCGTGGTCCACCCAGCTAAGTGTCCACTAATAATGTAACTAACTAGATGACGTGAAAGCTTTGATGCAATACATGTCATTGAGCAGTTTGGCATTTAGAGAAGAATTTGCCATATTTCCTCTGAAGTCTCTGAGCAATACTCACTGCACACAGACAGTAACTTACCCGCTGATCACCTCCTTCTCTGCGAGGATCAAGCTTTTTTGCAAAGTGTCTCAAATTATCGTAGTTATGGAAATTGCACAAAGAAACCAGATCCTGCAAGCATTTAGAGAACATGCATTATTATCTGCACAGGATAGCCAAATGCATCTCAGTAAATAATAATACTACCAGTTAGATTTTGCATCACATCCTAGTAACTTAAACCAGTAAGAACAAAAGTTAATTTATTAAATTAATACCCATGTCCATAAGGCACTTTGAACATATAGATCTACAGGATAAAATTCTAATAATACCTTTAAATAATACCTTTATAATATCTTTACCTCCTTCTTACAGAAGGACGAAACAAGGAGCAAATTTGCAAAATATCTATTTTAATAAATTCCTACTCAAAGACAGGAAGCCCATCCTTTTACAATACTCTGCTAAATGAAGATTATTCAGGGTTTAGTCAGAGCTCTTGCAAATGTTTATGCAAAATTAACAATACCCAAACAGATTAATTAAGAGCAGCTTGCTTTCTCAGAGAACATCAGCTCTGTTTTATGCATCTTCCTAAACTCATGAAGATCCATCCAGATGGGTCAAAAAAGGGGCAGGAAAAAACTAACTCTGCCATTAGATAAAACTCCTGTATCAACAGTTTGGAGTTTTAGATAAAAAAAGGGAGGGATTTAAAGCATAAATAAGCTGTATGTAACCCTTCAGGAACAGAAAAACTTTGTTCAAAAGGATGAAACAAGGAAATGAGTGACATAAGGGATTCTCAATCAGTTTGAATTACAGCATGAACGCTATAATTACAAAACTTGGCAATGCTGCTCTATTTTTAAAAGTGAATGTTACATTCATGTTACTTGTATGCCACAATCATGTATCAGTTTTTAGGTCTCATTGCAATGCAGAATTGATGCAGTAAATCCTCCATCTACCCCTCTATTCTAGGATTTAGAATTTTGTTATCAGACCATTTAATATGAAGCTTTAAAGCACTTTAACTAGAATTAGTAACTTCTTAATTTGAAACTGTGTAAATGTTAGATAAATAGAAGCATGAAAAATTTTAACTGCTGTTCCACCTCCCATTTATAATTAAGCAATCATCATTACAAGGCAGTTTTAGGGACAAAAAAAGAAGACATTTTTTACATTCTCCTCTCCCACAAAACACCTTAATTAATCATTACAAAGTCCTCCCCAAAATCTCTCCTGCTTCTAATGCTCCTATCAGCAGACTATCCACAGCTCTTTCATTGGCTCAACATGAAGCCAGGAAGAGTTTGCCCAACATCTGGGTATCATCTATGAAGACATCTTTTATGTCAGATGGTTTACAAAAATTAGTTTAAAAATACATCAGAATGGAAGTATTTCATTACAGTCTTTTTCTTTTATTGCAATGAAATAAGAGTTGCATTTCCAGTGTTTTGAAAACGGTACTTTATGACAAGAGAAGGAAAAAACATCTATAAATAGAGCTCTACAGTTTTTAATGCAATATACTGGAGTCCAGCACTTTCATTTCCCCATGAAGTGTTCCTTCTCAAAGCTTTTTCACAACAATTTCTCCAGTGTTTCTGGCATCATACTTCAGTGCTCACTGAAATCAAGTGCTATTTACTACTAAAAAGCAAACATCTATTCTTAGACTTTCACCCTTGGATCAGATGAAACTTGCTATGTAGGGAACAATCAAAAATCACTATTTAATTCACTTAGATCTCAGCTATGCCAACTGAAGCTCAGTAAACATCAGCTGCAAAAGCAAAAAAAAAACAACCAGAAAACAAACCCAAGCAACCAAAAAACCCCAAGGGCAATGGTGCTTACATGACAAAAGTGAATTCCTTTAACACTGTTGCCCATCTTGTCCAAAGGAGGTGACCAGCACATCAAGCCCATGACATTAGGAACAACCAGAAGAATCCCACCAGCAACTCCAGACTTGGCAGGAAGACCAACCTATAGAATAATCAGAGAATTACTGGCCTCTGCAATTGCTCCTCACTATTGTAACACAATGCATCAGCATTTTCCTGAAAATTATTGTGTAGCATTAATAAAACGTGTATCTGGAAGGCACTGGAAGCTGGGAAAGCATTATTACTTATCTCTTTTTAGATAAACAATAACCTGATGCAGTTTGTGACAATCCAAGGTTCACAATCATAAAACTATTTGCTCACAGAAATACAGTGAGTCAATAATACTGTGAAAGAAGATAATTTAAATCTGTTTTTTAAAAAAAGTAATTATGACTAAGTGGTAGTACACAAGTGTATGTCTCACAAAGAGCTTGCAACAAGGTGGTAGAATGAAGCTGTAAAAATATTGACTGGAAAAGTTAAAAAACAAAAAAACACAAGAAAATTGGAAAGTATCTATGAAATCATACAATAACCTACTTGTTTAGAATCTGAACAAAGGCATTACTTTTTTCAGTAGGAACTAACATGTCACATATCCTCATGGCTCTCCAAAAAGCAACTTTTATGTCACACAATGCACCATCATCAATTTTACATGTATGCAGTAAGGAAAAACTAAAAATGCTGCAAAAAATACTGAAAACATAAGATACATTCCATCCTGAATTATAAACATGTAATGAACACACTGCTAGAAAACAGGAGCACAGTACATGTGCTGTGTATGACAGCCATTTTCACACGTAAAAGGACAATTTCTGAGCCTGAGTTACTGAAGAAAAAACAACTGTCCACAAAGGCTTTCTGCTATCCTTGACTCCCATATAGTAGGATTTCTTCAGCCATGAAGAAATGTTGCTTCTGTTGCTCTCATGAACAGCCTTCCTAAGGAACAGCATTTATGTTTTGATATGAAAAGGATTCCCAGAAGTGAAGGCAGAGTGCTCTAAGGTATGTGACACTAGTAGTGCCATGAATCCTAGGTGAGATTTTTCCTTACAGTGTGCTCAATTTCTAAACAATTCACATAACACCCTCTCTTCTGCCTCTAAAGCAAGGAAGAAACCCCTAAAACATAGAAAACAATAGCAGAAATTAACCTTCCTGGTCAGCTGTGATTAAAACCTGTAAAGTACTTACATGGAAGGCAAACTGCCCTGAAAAGTCATACATGCCACAGGAATGCATCAAACTCAAGGTATTCCGGACTGCCTCGGGGCTCAGGACTCTCTCACCAGTGATTGGGCAAAAGCCACCATTAGCCAGAGTTGCTGCCATCACACTTGCTGACTCACATGTTACTTCTATTGAGCAAAGCTTATGGAAAAGAAATAGAGATTATAAGCACTGGTACTTCTAGCACAGTAAGGCCAACTACAGCAGGATCAACAAAATACTGAAATCTTAAAATAATATCTCAGAACCACCTGCAGCATAACATTTCTTACAGATTACACTAGTAGCATCAATTACTACAGTCTGAATCTTTCTGCTATAAAGATCCCAGTGACAGTGTTTGTAAGCCCTCTTTAAAAGCTGGGGACAGTATTTTTATGGGTTAGTGTCTCTGCTCGATTCCTCCCCCCACCCCCCTTATGTTCCTTTGAGAGGAAGAGCTCTGTAAAACAATCTCTAAAAAAGTATTTTGCATCTGCTTAAATGGCAAAGCCACAGAATGACTGGTTTTTTTTTTTCAATTTGAGCTTGTTTCGTATGGTGGGTTCTTTTTATTTTAAAGCCTTAGAAGATCCCACACATTATTAGAAGTGCAATTTAAAGCTGCAAATTCTAGCACATGCAAGTGTTAATGCCAGCACTTCCTGCTGATGCAGCCTTATTTCACCTTTCTCATATTTAATTTCTTATATAGTAATGATACAACCACACCATAGTTTTTTCCCAGGATCCCTGCTTCAGTACAGACTATACATACTTTGGTGACACATCAGGAAATGTGATAAGATGCCATCACCTGATGCTGCCTCATTTCTGCAGAAACCAAAAGATAAATTGGTTTCAACCTGAAGCTGAAATGCTGCTCTAAAAAGTAAACAAACTAGTGCTCCTATTCTTGTTTCTGCCAAACAGTCATTACATGATACTTCATGAAGTTACCTAAGCCACGTTTGCATGAGTAGTTACTACCTGGAATTCTTATTTTCCGGGTGCCAAACTCAATACATCCTAGTCCAATCAACTGGAGTTGCAAATCAAGAGATTGTCAGAGACGCATCTAAAATGGCAACTGTGTTTTAAACATATGAAGTATTACATAATATCACCTACTTTCAAAAAAAAAATTGTTTCTAGGTTCTCAGTTTAAGCACCTGCATTCTGTACCTCGTTTGTCTGAACTGAGAATAATCCATCCTCACTTTACAGAGATAATAGGCAAATACGTTTATTCCTACTCAGAAAGTTCCCAGTCACAAAAGGGAGGAAGGAGCATTACAGAAAACCCAAAGAAAAGAAATAACTAGACTTTTAAGTAGAATCTGAGTGTTGGAAAGGTAAGCATTGTACCCTAACAGGAAAAGAGAAATGCTGCTCGTGTATGAGCTACCCTTTTCCTGAGCATGGAGTGAAAAGGGGATTTTTCAAGGGAAAAAAGAAAGAATGACACATGGTCATTAAATCAGAGATCAGAATGCACAAAAATGAGGCCAAATTAAAATACATCAGAAAAGTAAGCTTTAGCATTTCTTAACTTATGAATAGCTTCCACTTAGAAAACACATCAGGCAGTGGGATACAAGGCATTTAAAAAGCATTTTTACACAGTAAATTCATATAAATTACACATTCTCTTCTGCCACAAGTTCAGAACAGACTATTAGCTTGTACCTAGTTTCTAACTCAACAGGAGGTCAACCACAGCTAATCACATATACCTTACTTCATAAACACTCATCCAATCTAAATATAAGAGAGCAGGTGCATCCCCACACAAAAAACTCAAATGAAATTTGCATTTTGAAAATAATGGCTTATAATTTGCATAAGTAACAGCAAGTTTCCAAGTCAAAAACAGATTTTGAGAACTCTGTATTTCTTTTTTTAAACTCTCCCAGATGAAGTGCATCAGTAACACAACTTGAACTGCCTCTTGAGAACTCTACACAGCAGGGCTGAGTTGTGAGCATTTAAACATTAGGAAACCCTTATTGAGGAAATACCTCACACTTGCAAGTTCTCATTTTGTGACACTTGTAAATAACTTGCTGAAAGTGAAAAAAAAAAAACAAAAAGGGGGAAGGGGGAGGAAAAAAAAATATATTCTTACTCAAAAGCATTGAATGAAACCAAAAGGAGGTGATATTCCCATTTCTTCCCTTGGAGCATTTCCTCAAGCCTACAGCTCAGCATGCACTCTCCAGTTACAGAGGTTAAACTACTCCACAGCACCATAAGAAGCAGCAACCCAAAGAGGAAGTGTTTTGTCAAACTCGCTGAAGTAATACAAGACATTTCAAGCTTCTAACCTCAAGTGGTTTAAAGACTATTGCTAGTTTGTATTAGCAACAAAGACACCTGAGTAGGTCACCTAAACAAAAGCAAATCTGGATACATCAAACATACATCTGTCATTTCCAGAGTTAAACAGAAGCTGACATTTAACTGTACGTCATCAAAGCCTCCATGTCTAGGCACAAATCAGCTTCTACTGCTTATAATAGCAATTCTAAGCCTACAGTGAGTCTCAATTTTAAAGTCAGTTACCTGAAAATAGAAGTCTAGTATAGCAACCATATCCGTGCCTTCAGGAAAGCACTGAGGAAGAAAAATAAAGAGTCTTTAGATTAATTTTTTTTTAAGTATCACTTTCAGATAGACATAACTTTAATTATACTATTATCAGCATGCTAAGCATTAGGCGTATTTTAATATAAACATTTAAATGTAGTAAGTAGAAATACTTAATGACATCAGATTTAAAAATAACACAGTGCAGCAATATCACTGAACTAGGTATTAAAAGATTTTTCAGTATAGTTTTCAACATCTTTAAACAAGCAAATGGAAAAATGCATCCAGGAGTTTTATAAAGTCACCTCTACAGCACAGATTACACTTTTTACAACAAATAAATTACCATGACTATGGTACAGAAAAATATTTAGAGGTATTTTATTAGAATGGCATAAATATCACACTTTTTAAATGACAGCATTTGAATAACACTGATAAGACATATCCAGTATGAATTTGTGCCAAACTGTACATAAATTAAAAGGATTCACAGATTACAAATAAAACCCAGCAAATAATCTTAAAAATACACTTAAGAAAAAAATTAACCTTTTTTTCTTTCAAGTAATAGCCAATTGCAAAGTTTCTATCTCCACTCTCTCTTTCAGACTGGAACCTAAAAGAGAAAAAAAGAAAAAACAAAAAAGACAAGGCAACATGTCAGACTTTCCAAAAAACCCCCAAAAATTGCTGAACTCATGATGTGTAATGTAATTCAGTAAAATTCATGTAAAGGGTTCATCACCTCTGAACACAACTATTCTACTAATGGGACAGAAGTGGCCACAGCAGCTCATCCCAGTTCACCCAGCTGGAGTGAATCAGCACTGACATCCAAACACACACAGAGTACTGGTTACCTACACAACACAAGCTGACTTGGAGAGAAGGCAAAGGAGGGTAAAATCCTCATCCTGGAAGCATTTCTAAATAGGCCAGAGCAGGATGGACCATCCCACACTGGGACAGTGGAAGGGTCATTATTCCCTGGCCAAAGCACAGGAATGTGAGGATCCCACAGCAGGTCAGACAAATGGCTGCACTCCTCACTGGGATGACTGAGGAAAGGATGAAACCTAAAGGAGGAACACCTGCCTGGTTCCTTCTGCAATACACACCCCTTTTACTGAAACAAAGCTCAGGAAAACACCTCTGCACATGCACTGGAAGCAACTCTGCTAAAGGGAATCTTCATGATTTACCCTGTGCTGCCTGAAAAAGCTCTCAAGAGTTTTGGAATGCTATACACTGAGTTTACAAGAGAACTGTTTGTTTGAGAAAAGAATTTAAATATGCAAAATAAAAAAGCAGAAGGAGTCCCAGCTGTATCAACTATGCTTCCTAAACATTTGCTATGCAGCCACCAACATGCAGAGTTTAATTTTTAATATGAATGCCAGGAAGAGAAGAGTTGCACTTACAGCTCTCATTGCCATAGCACCAACAGAGCACTAAGACAGAATAATGACATTTTCAAAGAGGTAACCAACACTTTTAGGTGAAATTTTGCCCCACCAGTGTCAGAGACATGCACAACTTTAGTTGTAAATTGTTAAGTGAAAGACACCCTCCAATAAAAGGGATGAAATGCTGGATGAAATGTAAATAACTGAACTTTGTCATAGGCTCAAAATACCAGTTATCAGTTGAACCACTTTCCACCTAACCTTAGTAAGTGAATAAAAAATACTTACGTAGCATTACTGAATCCAACATACTCATTACCAGCCATTTTATTCATGAACTGCATCACCTGGCAGAGACAAAGACAAGGAAAAGCAATATTTTTACACATAAAAAGGTTATGAACTTTCAACCAAGCCTTACCCTAAATCCTGCGACACCATTTTATAAATGCAATACAAACAACTAAATGCTTTAATAACCAAGTACATCTACAAAAACAAAGCCCAGGTTATGACTAAAATTTCACTTTCAATTCCCTTGCCATCTTGAAACTTTTACCACTGAAGTTAGTTAAAAAAGAGAAGTTACAATGTTAACTTACGTAGTCAAATTTTTCTGCGTTATTTGCTCCTTGCTGCAAGAAAAGAAAAAATAATTTACAAAAATTGTTAACAAAGGAACAAAGTTAGTTCACTTAACAGTATTAGGATTTTAATGCACATAACTAAGGTTTGAGTCTAATTAAAAATAAGGTACTACAATCACTTCATATATTAATGAAAAAATTTAAATGTTAGATAAGTAAATCTTTAATTATCATTTAAATAATCCTATGCATCTTAAACACCTGTATGCTGGAGATTAATTTAAATTGGAAAAGGTATGCTTTATTTTAAGTGCTCTCTATTGAACTTTACATGCTTAGCATAAGTAAATGCAGTAGCTAAAGCAAAAAAATACAAAAGTAACTACAAACAGGATAATTACAGTAAAAACACTAACTTTTTATAGATTAGTAAGGCAAAGGTATTCTCATATTACCAACAGAGCTGAGCATAGGAAGGTTCAGGCTACTTAAATTAAAATATTTTCACAGCCAGTGCCCATACTAAGAATTTAGACTGAAGACTTAAAATGAAGTGTTACTCCTAACTATGAAAATAACTGCAACTAATTTAAAAATATCTGATTCATGTCCTACCTATAAATAATTGTTAAATAGCTAGAAAAATAGAATTTCACATCATAGGGCGCATCATTGTGCTAACAATGAACAGAAAAACCTAAACCCAACTTAATAAGGATGATAGTGGAACTTAATTCTTAGGGTGGGCTTGGTTTGGGTTTTTCAGGGAGGCTGAGGGCTGTTATTTTGAGGATTTGTTTTCCTCCCTTGTTCAAGAACATTCTCAAATTTAGTAGCTGCTCAAATTTAGTTAAAGACATGAATTTTTTAGAGGTCTCTGATAGGTGGCCTTTCACAGATTCGTACAGAAAGAGATTCAAAGAGGAGTGGGAGGTAAAAAATAGCACATGGTCCACTGGGGGGAGTTTTAAATTTTTTTAAGTAGCCAAGTAGAATTTTTGGAGGAAGTTTAAAAACCAATGGCATCGCATACACAAGTGGAAACAATGTATCTGGAGAAGATGTTTTAATACAAAATTTTAATATTAAAGACATTCTATTTAGAATAACAAGACTAACAAATCTCAAACAATTCAAGACGCTACTTGCACTGTGTTTAGTGTGGGGATGGGGAAGAAAGTGGAAAAAACGGAAGCTTTATATCAACCAGTATTGTACTTAATGAAATGCATAAAGCCAGTCTCATTTCCCACTCTGTATGTGGATTAGGGTGTGCAGATAATCTTGGAAGCCCATGCTTCAGCTCATCTACAAGAGGATGTGCAGACACACACGTACAATCACTGGTGAAAGGAACACCACACTGTTCTCTCAAAATTATGTGCCAGTGGTTACCTTATGTTTAAAGGCTAATAATCTCACTCCTAAAGGCAATAAACTCTAGCTAATTTGCAATTAGATAAAAAAGTGCATGATACATTTCATCAAAATGTTCCTGTATAATATACCAGAACACAAATCTTAAAAATTTAACTCCAAATCTGTTCAATGAAAAATAATTAAAAGAAGAAATTACCAACTTCATTGAACTGTTGCAGTTGTCAAAATATTCCATAGATCCTAATGCTGTAAAATATGTAACAACATTTAAACCACAAAAACCTTTTTAACCTTTCAAATGCACAATGAACATCTTTTTCTGGGAAAGTGGGTCAGCATTAGTTATGGGATGCTGCATTGATAATTGTATGGTTAGACATGTATAATAAATTGAAACAGGTTCTTTTGTTAAAAAAAAAAGAAAAGAGGGAGAAAGGGATCATGCTTTCTGCAAAAATATAAATACATAATACCTCACTTTTTTGTTCTGCCCAGTGGAAAAAAAATATTCCCTCAACAAAAACATGGCTTTACCAGCAGCATATAAAATTGGTGGGCAAAAGACTCAATGCAAACGTTTTCCACATCGACTTCTTATAAAAAAGGTTCCTTTTAAAGTTCCCAACTAAACTTGTATTTTGGGAAGAAAATCTTCTTCACACTAAGCCAGATGATGAGTTTTTAGTCCTTGATGTTCCACACGCTTGTAGAGGTATTTCACAGCACACACAAAAGCATTGTCACTGAAACCAGACTGCTCATACACCTGAACTATTTGCTGAAGCAACCGCATGATCAAAACCTCAGCAGGGATTTACTACAACGTTACTGAAGTAAGAAACTCTGCTTCCATACGCATGGTGACTAAAAACCCCAACAGATTATTTCCCCTCTTCCAGCAGCTGACAGAGGTGTCCTGCTCCTCCTAAAAAGCTGGAGAGACACAGTGGCAACACACATTCTATGATTAAAATTCAATTGCAAATATAAAATCCTAACATTCAGAGTACTGAGAAGCTTTTCCATAATCATTTAAACAAATATAAAGGGACAAGGGAACTTCTGTTCTTCCACAAGTGCTTCTTATTTTAAGCTTGACTGTAAAAACCTATGAGTTTGGGGGCACAACATTTCTTAAACAGCATTTTTAAAGTTCAGATGCAATTCAACCTGTCTAGAACACAAAAGAAAACATTCCATGCACTAAACTCCACAAACACTTTGTACATTTACTGGAACATGTTCATATACACACTAATACATGCTTGTGTGTATATGCATATGAAAAAACACTTCTAAATGAATACAAAATTAAATTTACAATGTTAAGACTGAAGCAGTTTGATAGGCAGAAAATTCAAACTTTCAGAAGACAGCTCAATACAATTTTGTAAACACTTAAAACCCCAATGGACACTATGGCTGTCAATCATAAATTTGAATTTTTTGACTGTGTCAGTTTTTAGTGATCTTCCCTTTTTTTTTCTAAAAAAGGTACTTGTACTGTATTACTTGTATTTCTACTAAAACATATAAACAGTTGCAACAGCTACATGTCTACATAGGAAAGAGAGACCCATGGATACTTACCAGAGCTTGCAACAACAGAATTAGGCAAAATTTATTAGAAAAGTAGTTAATATTAGCCACTTTTCATTGATCAACAGTTTCTATGATTAGAACATATAAGCTCTTACCACATGTCTCTCATTAAAGCAATTTCTCAATTTTGAGCCTAAGCAAAACTAATAAAAACATCTGCACCATGAGAAGTTTATAATCTTCTAATAATAGAAGATTGTGTAAAAATTAATTTTTGCAATATTTAAAGCCAAATTTATAATCTAATACTATACTGTGACAAAAATATCCAGAAAAAAAAAATCACAATTCTGTGTCAGAGTGCAAGAAACACATCTGCATTTTTCATGAAGTTAACTACTAATGGTCTTTATTTTAGCTTTTGCTACTTACACACTTTTTATATTTTATTTAAGATGGTCCTGTTCTGTGAGAACTGGTGTCTTCACAGTTTAGTGTACCATTTTCAGCTCTGAAATACTTGAGAGTACACTGTGACAGACAGTATTTGACCTAAGACCAACACTATCAAAATTTCAAACACCTGTAAGATTGTGTCCTTCACTTCTGTGCACGTGTGACCACTTAACACATGTTATTTCACAGAACCTACTATATATTCCATGTCAGATAACATCCAATATACTTGAGTTTTTATTAAAAGTGGAGAAGAACATGGATGTAAGTTCTATCCCAAATAAGTTACCATAAGAAAACTGGTAACCTAGGAAGAGAGGCAATGTCACCAAAGTGAAGACAAGTATCTGGCAGAGAAGATCACAACACCAACACGTTGTAATGTGGTTTGTATGCACAGTCACACATCAGTCTCTCAGGAAGGATAACTCCAGTGACAGCACAGAGCATTAAGCTAAATCAGTACTATTCATTGTAATTGTATTGTCAAATAAACCATGCATTTTCCCACCTCTCAAGTAATGAACTGTAACTGCATAGGTTTCCTAATAACTGAATCCTGACAGCAAACAGACCCTTGGCACAGCTAGACAGGATTTTTCTACCACTTTTTGCCTCATTTATTTTGTGATTTATCAGCATATTTAGAAAGTTCTTAAATATATCTCAACTCTCTCCATGTTTGATATTAAAAAAATAAGCTTCCATTGAACTAAGGATTTTTTAGGGCGAGAAAGATTAGCATTTTCATTTTTTTGTACACCAAATTTTTGCAACAACTATGAATTTTGCTATTGCCAACATGTCTAAATGCTTCCCACATAATTCAAGACCACAGCACACCTCCCTTCAATGAGCATTCCACTCCACACTGTCTAAGGTCCTGCATGTGACTGCCAGCACTTAGAAGATCTAAAGATGCTGTATTTGCCTGAGCCTTTGCTGTTAGGTTAGGAAAACTTTTATCTACAGATGCAATGTTAAAGCATACAATAAAAATTATTTAAGATTAATCCATTGTCCTCTGGTGATTCTGCCCACAGTCATCTGCCTTCTTCCACATATTTCTATCTGAACCCTTCCTCTCCCTCTCACCTGCACTTCTAATGTGACACTCAGTAAAGGTAATTTGGAAGTGGGAAGTTCCTGACAAAACCACTGATATTCCTGGAATTGACAAGCTTTGAGAATTGAGTTGAAGGTTTAAAAAAACTTAAGAAATCCAAGTAGTAAAATACAGGCAATAAAGACTTTTCCCAGCCAATGTGATGTACAGAAAGCTGCACTGGATCTGTACTAAATCCATACAGGAGTTGAATCACCTTCTTTCAAGCACCTGTTTTTCCTTGGAGACATGATAAAAATTACTGCTTTATCTCATACCACTTTGCCATAAACTCCTGTAATTGCCACTACAATTTTCTTTTGATAAAAATTATTTGAAAATTGTTGTAACTATGCCATTTATATAACTAGTAATACAGGCAAATGGCTGTACAATTATCAACAAGGGAAAAGGTCCTCAGCGGGTTTTTTTTAAACTTTATTTCATTAAAAGTGACCTGCAGGATGTCCTTTTGCTAAAACATTTTTATTGTAGACACATGCTTTAAACTGCTGGAACAGTCTGTGGAGTGTAATGCATGTACAATTAAAACAGGGGCAGGGCTTAAGGCACCAAAATGTAAATACAGCATAGTCCCAAACACAGGGCAGTTGGAAAATCACTTCAGATGGCAGGAGTAGGATACAGCCATGCCTAAGTAACTCAAACAAACCTGTCACTTAACATGCACATACCCCTAATTATTTATTATTATGGACTGCAAAGACAATGTAACACTCTAGTTTAGCTCCCTGATCTGTTCCAAGGCAGGAACACCAAATTCTGACACTGGGTATGTGATGCTAAGAGCCTTTTTTACCCCCAAAATGTTAACATATTACATCTTAATATATTCTGATAGAGATTACTCCAAGCATCATCCCTCATCCACAGTCACAATCTGTGCCAGGCTCCAAGGACAGCTGGATGCAAGATCACATCTACTAACAGCTGCTCAACTCAGTACAACAACTCTCACAACGTGTGAGAACATTGAAAGAGTATTTGATCCATTTCTCAGAGAGAGATAATGAATCCCAAAGGAGGTAAAAGCATTCCTAACCATAAAATACAGCAACAATCTCTCTGTAGTTATTAACATGCTATAGGTTAGATAAATCTGCAATACACGGTGAATTTAAATTTTCTTGTACTTTAAGAGCCATACACTGTTTTCAAGACATGTGAGTAACACCTTAAATAAAATGAATAAATGCAGAGGAATTGAGGGCAAAACATGAGTTAATGAAGCCACCTTTCTCAGAAAAAAGCTAAGTTTGATGAGAGATCAAATACAAATGTGAATTATGTAATTCACTGGTTAGTAGCATTAATGTTAAGTTGCAGATTTTAAAGAAGTTACTTCACAAAACTTACAACTACTATGGAGTTTTGTACCAGTGATCCTCTACGTAATTGTCTTCAGAATATATTTAGCTTGGTTAGTTATTCAAATGATAAATGGTATCTTAGTGAAAGCAGTACAGAAAATCTACATTTTAATCACACTGAGAACAAATAATGGTGTGATAAGTAAGATACGAGTCCACCAGACGTGCAATTACCACATGCAGAAATGTTAGTGCAATGCAATACTCTTTATAAGAACATTACAGAGAAAACCCAAATCAAAGTTAAAAAAAAAAGCCACCCAGCAAAATCCTTCTAACAAATACCACAGTTGCATGCATGAAACAAATCCATGTTATCTATTCAGAAGTACACCATTTATCAGGAACTATGTGCCTTCCACAAGAGGCACGTGCTTTTGTTTTGCCTTATGATCAGTAGGGCATGTTGGAGTTGGACTAACATTTTAACATTTCAGACAAATGTGTTAAGTTAGATTTTAAAATTCACTATCATCCAAGTGAATTTCAATGCTCAGTCACCTTTAAAAAATATTAAATGTGAATAAATTTACCTGTCATACTTAAGGCCATTTTCTTTCACCTACAGCTATCAAAGATAAATGTCTTTAAGCAGGAGTTCTTACACCTTCTTTAAATATAAAATAACAGAAAATCATGATCTAAGTAATGTTAAAATCAACGTTTTGGAAATAGGGGGTAGGAAACACACTCATTAGCTAATGGACTTGGAAATGCAACCAAGAAACAGATTGTAAACACGACTTTTAGACCTGAGAAGTAACAGTATCAAGTTTACTACTCAAAAATTCTAGGGGACTGGCATGTTCCCCAGAAGTCTATGCAGGTACCCTTAGGAAAAAAAATTAATTTTTTGTACCTATGGCTACTAAAACCAGCAGAAAATACAAGTCAAGTATCAGGCAAGCATTAACATTACATGGGGTTTATACCATTAACAACTTGAAGACAATTATACAGCTGTTCTAGGAAAAACATAAAATAGAGCTTTCCAAAAGTATCAAGATTATGGAGCGAAGATGTAAAGTCATTCAGACCTGGTGTGCTTGGCAAAATAAGCACCTGTTTTCAAACACTCTTGTTTATGAAAGCACACTGACATCCCAAAAGCAACTATGTACCACAGAAGCTCAACACAATTTAGTGGTGCAGGATGTTAATAACACACAAATTCAACATAAGACTGACATTCAGATATAGCAGCATTGCTCCTGTACAAATTACAGCATCTTCCATTTCTTCTGCACTGCAATAAATACTCTTGTAACTTTATGCTCTTAGACCCTCAGAAATGTACTTCTGAGTTCTATAAAGTATATTCCTGAGAATATACTTCCTCAGCAATTAACAAGTAGAAGGCAACACTCTCAAGAGATTATCAAGAGTTGTGCAGCTAAAGAAGGAAACAATCTAACACCATCAAGGAAAAAGAGTTTTTCAGATGCACTGATACTTGTTAGAAACAGCTATTCTAACACTGCATTCCTTTGGAAGGGTTACAATTCCCAAAAGATCTGTTTGTCTACCTGCCAGTGAGTAAAGTGCCATCAGATATTGCAGACAAAAATCAAATAAAGTTTATAATCTGCACAAGACATTTTTTCTACATTCTACTAAAATACTCAGAGAGAAACTAAAAATTAACTTTTTACCTTGATTAAAGATGTGATCACAATTGCTCCAGCATTCACCATAGGGTTATGAGGCCTGTCTGTGAAATAAAGTTTTCAATTACAAATATATTCCAAGACATGTTTGTCAAACAAAACCAGTCAAGTGCTCAAGTGAAAAACTATTCTAGATTTGAGTATAGCAATAGCTATACTATTATATACTATACTATTAAGAATAGAAATTATATAATCTTAAACCTTTAAAAATACTGTAATCCAACACTATACACAATATTTTACCAATCTGAGTGCAATATTTTACAGCTTACAACACACTCAGCCTTATGCTACTTAACAATCCAGTAATTTTTTTTTATTTGGTATAATTTCTTTTCTTGAAAATTACAAATCCTCTTCATTTAAGAATTTAGCTTACTTCATAGCTGACTTGAACATACCTGCTGCAATTACATTTTCATTTTTCCCCCACTGATCTCCATATTAACAGTATCTTGGCATTCCCAAGTCGTTCTTGGCTGCTGAATAAATCACCTTCTTTTGTATCTCCTGTTTCTAAAAAACCTCTCATCAGCCATCTTACTTTTCCCATATCATCTACCTTCCACAAATTACCCTTTTCTTTCATAAGTAACATTTTTGCTGTGCCTTTTAACTAGGATGTTGATTTGTGAGCACTGGTGGTATCTGAAAACCTCAAACAATTCTCAATACATTAATATCAGGACAGGTTTGAACTCTTTATTTGCTGTTATTTTACCTCCAAACCTGAAAAAATATTCATTTTAAAACTGCACAAAAAGTGTCCACTATTTTTATGTATGATGTACAAACAAGGACTCTAAGAGAAATTTGAGATAATTTGGGTTTTGGAGATGGGTCTGGTATTTGCAGCATACACATATATTCCCATGAAAATGACACTGGTTATGGTCAATGGCACCTTAGCTATCTATGACTATCAGTCAATCTTCAAAAACAAGTTTTAAAAGTCAATATTCATAAGCCTGCAGAAGTTTCCAAATTTCCATCACAAAGCATAGATCATACTCAAAACACAGCAACATCTTTTTGTTGTAAGTTGGCATTTTTAGCTATAATTTAAAACTGTCTTAAAATAGTCTTCATTCTTTCCAGCTTGGATCTCAATACTATGAAATGCAAGAAATATCCTGTTTTAGGAATCTTCCATATAGTCAGTATAGAAAAAACACCTTCAGATGCATGAACAGTTTTCAAACACCTGTGTATCACTTCATAAAATCTGGATTACAAACATGAAATTTACCTGTGTCCGAATATTTTGAAAGTAAATAGATCAAATACCTTTTTTTTTTTTTTTTAATTTTCAAATCTGGTCTTCAAAGTATTTATGAATGTTCAAACTGACAAATACTCCACACATAGTGGAAGTTCATACAGTGGTTTAAATCTACAAGTGTAGCTTTAATCTTTTAAATCCTTTTTTTCCCTCCTCTTCCTTTACTTGGAGAAACTCAACCTCCCTTCCTCTCATTATTACTGAAATGTTTCTATTTATTAAACTTTTACTTTCTGTTTTAGTCTTTTCTTAAGGACTGTGTAAGAAGCCATCCAGGTCAGTTCCAGCTCTTTTTTTCTCATGTCTATCAGCCACAGAAGCACATACTTAAAAACTAAATTTTCTATCATGTCAATTAAGTCTTCTCTATTAACTTCATGTTCATTGGTCAAAATTTCAATTGTCCAAATTCTCTTATGTGTAACAGCCTTAGAAACACTCCTGAAGTATAACAGTAATGTAGAAGACCACAGCCCCCCAATTCATCTTCTCCAATAGTTCCATTTTAAAAGTAGCAATAAAAGAAGAAAATAATTACTACACTTTGTCATGTTATTAAAAAGAGAAAATATAGATCATCTATATTAGTTCAAAGGAATTAAGGGGCAATTTTCAGCATCATCAAGTTTTTTTTCTAGTAGAGCTTTTGTAGGATATGAAAGACAAATCTTCACACTGTACAACACTGTATTTGGAAAAAGTAGGAAAGCAAAAACAAGATAACATAACTTGCCAAAATGCTTAATCCTTTCTTGGCAATGTATTCCTACATTGGTATTTCATCACCATTTACAAACATAATAAAAGAGAAGAAATAAATTGCAAATATATATTTTAATTTTAAGTATGGAAAGAGGATTTTAAGGTATAAATAAATAATTTTTATATAAATCATTTGCATGTATTTAAAACACAATAAATATAATTAGGTATTATTAATATATTAATACTACAGATATTTAAGTCAGAATTCAATACAGTCCTTGACAAAAATGTCATCCAAGCCTTATGCTGGTAATTAAATATTAATTGCAATACCATGGCAACGGAAACATTGTCTCTTCTTTTACTGAGACAGACCCACTAGAAGAAACATTTGTGTTTCAGAGAAAACATCCAGTATTTCCTTTAAGGCTAACATGAGTCATCTTTCTCAAATTTTTCCCATAAAATTAAAAAAACCAAACATTTCCATGCTTAAAAATTAATATAATATGAAAAAGAAATAATCTAGGTAAGTGCTGTAGGAGAAATTCTTGCTAAAATAATCCTGCCACAGGGAAAAAAAATAAACACATTGTTTTGAATCAGTAGCCAAATTCCATTTAGAATAAACTGTGGGAAGATTTCACCTTCTGGAAACTAGTCAGTGCTGGCCTTTGGCACCAGCACCTGCTTCTCAGAAGACTGAGAAGTGATATGTTTTTTAAAATCAATTTAATGTCTTTGATTCTTTCACCACCATTTTACAGAAACCTAGATTAAGGAATTCTTGCTACCAACTCAACTAAATAAAAATAAATTTCAAATGCCTGCACTGTTAAAACTCTTTGGGTTTTCCTACAGCTTAGTAACTAGCAAATAGAATAGAAGCAATAAAACATCTTTCACTGGCTTTCTAAATGAGGCAAAAGTGACTAACAAAGACCAAGTCTACCTTGCTGATGACAAAATATTCTGGGACACTGCCTAGTAATAAGACAAAATATATAAATAGAATATATAAGAGGATACAGTAAAATCAAAAAGACTGAAAAAACTGTGTAGGCTTGCCTCATGATTTTCTAAACCTGAGTATCTGCATTATTAAGTATAATGTATCTCTTACCATCTTCATTCAGGAACAATTTGTTGAATCTTAATCCACTGGGCTCTTTACCAACATATCTGTGCACATACTCTGTGCCAAGATCATTGACAGCAATTGCGTATTTCAAAGGCTTCACGCAGGACTGGAGACAAAATGGAACTTTGGTATCACCCACAGAATGCCTGGGAAAACACAGATGAACAGGCTTGAAATTTCCTGCTTGTCAGCTGTGGCAGTAGAGTGTTAAACACTTCATCTATCCTTCAACATACAAGGATTATTAACAAAAATGTCCCAAAAAGCCAAAGCATATTATTACTAGGTCTGATTTTAAAGAACATAACAATGTGATTTAGAAGTTTTAGCAACTAACCCCATAAGCCAAGCATAACAAAGTCAGTTGCTGACTACTGCAGAGGTAACAAAACCAAAAAACAAGTTCAGAAATGGGTTTGTACCAGAGCAAAATATCACCTCAAACCTCTAGTCTTACACTTATCCTACTCAATTGCAACCCACATCTTCAGCAGGGTACAGCTGACCCAGATAGAGCCACTATAGTGATTTATGTCTATATAAACAAAGATAAGATACAGCTTGATTCTGCCATTTGAGAACAATCATCAAATGGCATATTTACATTTCCTTTAATAATGCCAAAGATATAGCACTTATTACATGCTATCTTTTGGAAAGTTGACTTTCAGCATCTATGTCAGACTGCACCAAAGAGTGACTCATGCAAGCAGCATATGCCACATCTAGAGAGAGCAAAAGGCTTGCAGCAGTCACTTGTCTGATGGCAAAATCAGGAGTGGATTTGCTTCTGTTCTTTGCAGAAAACACTAGAAGGTTTCAGTGAAAATCACAATATCATTCTGGCATTATAAAAGCTAACATTACACAACATTAAGCATTACAAAACCTAACATTATAAGAACTTTCATTAGCTCATAATATCCAAAACAAAGCAAAATGTCAATTTAAAGTATAAGGTGTTTTACTATTAATAGATTCTAATTCAGACACTTAAACAGGGAGATGAAAAAAATACTTCTGCTCACTTTTACAGCTCCTCCCCTGAGATTACAGAACATATGGCTAATTATAAGCAAACATATGGACCTCAAAAGATCATGGCAAAATGAACTCCAAAATGAACTCCTAGCCACAGTCACCAGAAGCAAGTCTGATGCTCTCAGGAATGCCCCATTCACAAACAACAGCTAAAAATTGCAGTTTCCAGAACCTGCAGTAGGAGCACAGCAAACTGCAGGTCAGCAGAGCTGATGAGCACCTTGCATTGTGTATTCACAAAGGGAGACACAGAGCTCATGTTACTTCTCAGCTAGATGGTGCAAGGTATCCCTTTCCATCTAGGCTCCTAACTGTCTCTGCTACTCTGAGTTACTGACACTGAGAAAAATAAAATCACTCTGCCTAGATCTAAGACCTACATACACCCTTACAGGGGAAAGCTTGATAAACCTGAAAAGCAAAATTGTATTCAGCTCTGTCCAGTTCCCACATCTACATTTTCTTTTTAAAGAACGTGAATCTGCATTTTTTCAGTGACACACAGATTATATAACAATGTTACAGTGAAAACATTAAAATGCAGAGAAGGAGCTAACACTTAAGTACATTGTGACCTACACAGAAAGTTATACAGCTTGATACACAGGTACTATTAGACAAAGCTTTTCAACTTCCAAATATTATTGCTACAGAAGCATTGCCTCTATCTTTTCTTCAACTATTCCAAGAACAGAATGTAGAAGTTACAAAATGTAGAAGTTAAAATATACCTCTGTCCATCCACGGTGCAAAGTGACACCCCCCACAAATCGGGGCTGAACTTGGCCAGTTGGGGAATATAGTCAGCAACCTATCACAGTGTGAAATAAAGAGACACACATTACAATATCCAAAATACTTAACTCCACATTAATTAAAATAAATATCAAGGTACAACTGATTCATTCTATAAATTATCACCTGGTATACCTAAAATTTCATTAGAAATTATTATATTCACTAGATCATTATCAAATAAAACATTTTTCTAAGTAAAATTTTCAGCATATTCAGAGAGGTATCTGTGTTCTGTATAACAGCATGTCCATCATTTTCAAATAATATAAAACTTTTAGTTTGTAACACAGTCTGGGATTTTTCAACTGATTTATTAAAAATAAGCACCAGAATAAATTTCATTTACTAACCAATGTGCAGTACTAACGATTACTTTCATCACACAATCCAGACAGATGTGTAGAACTGCATAATTTTTCTAGAGCCTAAGTGTAGTCTGATAAATTATTCAGCAGCTTTATAGTTTATGTAATATAAAGAAAGAATAATGCTATTTTCATATTCCAACATCAAAATGCTACAAGATTCTTAGAGGCTGTGAACTTTATTTCTAACACAGTTTAAACAGTGCAGGCATAACTGAACTTCAAAACTCTTTCATCAGGTTACCAGTTTAATTTTGCAAAAAATGTTAAGAAAAACCTGTCTACTTAACAAATAATGCATTTGGTTAATACTGAAAATCTAAAGAAGTTTGAAGTTGAATTTACACAGAGATTACCTTTCCTCCAGATTGTTTTTTAGCACTTTCATATAGCTCATCAATATGGGAAGTAAACGACATAAAATCTGGAATGACAAACTTCCTTCTGAAAGCTTGAGTAAGCAACACAATGTTACTCTGTACACACCTGCAAAAAGTTAAAACCATTTATTAGTACTTTGACAATGTAGTGTGAAAAAGCAATTACATGTTATTTAATTAGGACCTTCAGTCCCTTGAAGCTACATGCCCACAAGAACAAGTCTGTATTACTTTTCCAATTTGCCACTCCATTTTTTAAAATTAGGTGTAATAGCTTTACCGCATGCACTTTTATTCCTTTCTACTTAAAGCTCCCTTTTGAAGTTTCAACTGTGAAGCTGTACTGCAAGGTATTCTCAATCTGCCTTCAAGTGTCACCCCAGCTTGCAAAAGGGATCTAAAGCACCCAGTTCTTGGGATCAAACTATCTGAAGTTTATCTAACCCAGGCCTTGTCTAAAAAACGTTCTAATAAATCAGACATGGGAGGTTCAGGGTTGCTTTCTCTCACTTCACCCTTTCACCACTGAGGTGAGAACGCTGCCATCAGACCAAACCGGAATGTGATTCCACTCTTAATAAGAAAAAAACCCTGTGGAAAAACTTGATAACATCTCCTGCACTAAGGAAAAGTTAATAGTGAGCCATACTGCAAAGTTTCTTCTTTCAAATCTCCAGCATTCAAGGAATCTCTGTTGCCTTTTAGCCCAGAAAACACAGTTACACTATCGGCCACACCCTCTGAACGTCGGCCCATCTGGGACAGCGAAAAAACCGATGAGGTAAAAAGGAAAAGACTTATCTAGGACAAACAGAAGGAAGGATGAAAACACAAACGGAGACATGCTAAAAGTGGTGTGTCCGTGGGTGAGAGGGGAGAGCAATTGGCAGCCACTATCAAGTCAGTTGAAATACGACCTGATAAAAGGTATTAACAGCCCCATCCTAGGGCAAGGAGGACAAAGGCAGGTTTAACAGCAAACAAACAGTTAACAGCTTCACACCGTGCCTTCTGGCACTGTTGACAGAAGCAGACACACAGACACATACTATTAATGCAGGCAAATGGAAAGTTCAGAACATCTAGGCACATGCTACGAATTATCTTCCCTTTGAATCCCCCCTCTTTTTCTAAGCCTGTAAACTCCTCCTACTTCGAGGACTTTATCTTAAATTGAACTGATATCCATTTCAAATGCTGATAAGCACTGCTCTCTGAAAGTGAAAGAGAAACTGTAGTTTCCGATGTACAGTCACCTTACAAACTGCTGGCTGTAACTCGCTGCTTTCTTAGCCTGTGTGAAAACTGCAGTTGACTTGTTTTTGTTGCAATCTCTCATTTTTTTCCTGTATCTTGCAAAAACTGCTGTTTGCTTTTGTTCCCAGCAGCTTGCAATTACAGTCACCTAGTCCAAGTGCAAAACCCCCCTTTTCAAAAGTAATTAATAACACTGATGGCAGCTATGTGTGCAGAAGGACTAACAACATAACATGCCCTAAGTTCAAACTTCAGATGCACTTCTGCATTGTCTGTACTACCTGAACAGCATTAAGCACTCCTATAAGAAAAAACAAGTATCCGAAGTTCACCCAAACCTTTCAGAACAATTCAATATAAAGTCTGGAAAACAAGAAGGCACTATGCACTGAAATACAGTTTTCTTAAGATCACATTATGTTTCTGAAACAACAAGGGCATTTATACACTTAAAATCTACACCAAGCCTATGATGCTCACTTCAGCAGTTCAATCCCTTTAATATAGGGATTAAAACTCACTACAGAAATGGCTGTGCTGGTGAAGGACATTTAGTTATTGTTACCAGTTTTTCCCAGACTCTGCCAAGGTCATTGTCTGGGTATTTATCCTGGTACTCCTTAACCCAAGCAAATCCTATGAATTCACAAACTAAATTAAATACAAGGGTTCAGGTAATCTAGATGAGCATTCAGAACAGTAGGTGAACAGACAAAATAACAGAGTTCTTGCATCTCCCTTTAACAGGACAGTAAACAGGACTGACAGTTTTCAGTCAGGCAGGACATGAGCCAAGACAGCCTCTAAAATTCTGCAGCTGACATCTCCTCCCACCGAAGTAATTAACTAATTATGTTCCAGGTAACCCCCTGGAGACAGCAGGCCTCAGGCTCTGAAGAAGTGGAGCAACAGGAAAAGATCATAGGGAGGAATTTAAGTAAATAATTATACTGATAAATAAAAACCTTTCTACAGTCAAATATTGTGAACAACTTGGCCCTTCTCTCTCACGAAGTTTAATGGTGGTTCAGGATAGGTACCCTAAAAAGTCCTACTTTACATTCTTCCATTTCAACAAACTTTACAATCTCAGCCTGAAAACAACCCCAGAACTCTCTTGCCAAATCCCAATCCAAGCATTTCTTGCCCCCCTTTAAAAAAATGTAATTTCAAACTATAAATTTTTCCTGATACATTTTGATTAGGAAGATTAGGCTGCAAGTCTTACAATCAATATTAACTGTCAGTGACTTGTATAACCAACTTTGAAAGCAACAGGTTGAGGGGTTTTGGAAATTGCATCTTTGTTCTTCAGCACAAAGTTAGGATCACTTTGTTTCCTTTACCAACTTGTTAGGTTTATCCATTACTTTTCAAGTTCTGACTCAGATTGCTTATTACTGCTTCCCTACACAAAGCAGCCCAAATTTCATCTAACAACAGATGAATTGTTGATCACTATTATTATAACAGAGTACTATTATATTAAGTAGTACCAAAAAGGAAAAAAAGGAAAGAAAAAAAATTCTCACAGCAAGCTAACCAGCATGTTGCACTGTTTTCATTAGCAGCCTGGTCTCACCCTGCAAAGACCACATTATGTTACACAAATGCAACATCAACAGCTAATTCACTAATTCACAACACTCTCTCTGAAATGTGCACCCCAGAAACCTTCATCTTAAGAAATTCTGCAGCTGAAAGATTAAAACTCCAAAACTCCAAGTTGTTCTGCCTGTAACATGGAGATTCTTTCTAATGTGGAGAATGCTGTAAAGCCAAAAAACTTCAAAATAATGCAATTTTAGTCGAATTGGAGCCTAATGTTTTGAACCACTAAAAAGGCATACAGAATGACAGACAATACAGGTGCATGAGCTGGTGTATTTTACACTTGAGTGATTTAGTCAAACTTATGCTACCACCACTCCAAATCACTTAACCTTGATACTTTATTTGATCTGGCAGCTTTGGATTCAAATTCAAGAGGAGAATTACACCCCTGACTTTTATGTTTAGGGAACTGAAGCTTTCAAGTCCTGAGCTAAGTACACCTGACTAGATACATTATTATATTTCACACCTTAAACACTTGGGGAAGAAAATACAGGGACCCTGTGCAAGCCTCTTCACAACAAATGCAGTGTTCCTACAAGGAACAGGTAACTGAAGTTCAGGGGTTTTTAATTTATAAAATGGTTACAAAGGAACCTTCTGCTGCTGCAAAGAAAAACTTGTTATGTGAAACAAGATTCACATTCAAAACTCTTCCTACACAGGAAGCAACCATGTAAGCTTTCCACAAATTGTTATAGTAATGACTACTCTCCTCATACAGAGCATCAAATCCCAGAGATGTGACACAGAACATAAGATAATCCTGCTAATTAGAAATAAATTCTTTTTCAAATGAAGAGCCCTTGCCTAAAACATAATTCAGCTTACTGTGACAAATAAGCCTTTAGTATAAATGTAACAGACAATAGCAAATGAATTTCCTTTCTAATCTATCCATGTACCCAGGAAGGTTTCTGAATCTAACAATTTACAGTTCTTATTCTGTTGACAATAAAAAAAGTTAAGACCTTGTCTAGAACTTAACACAGGAGTAAAGTTAGTCCATGCTGGACCTTTACAAAGTATCTCACATCTGCTTAAGGAGTTGCCTGGCTTTTTTGTTGCACACACAGATATTAACTTTCTCTCAATCTATTTCCAAAAATGTTTTTTTATATATGGACACACACACACACACATATTTATATCTATGTAAATACACAGTATAGCATAAGCATATACTGTATATACTTTATATACCTATATGTACATAAAATGTATCTATTTTATATATATATATACACTTAGAAAATTGTATGTGCAAATAAGTTTTAGGTATTATGATTTACCCTGCAAATGGAATAAAAATGCAGACAGAAAAATAGTCTAAAAATTTCATTTCAAAATTTAAGAGCCTCAACACTTCCAGTCTTTTGGCACACACAAGCTGTAAGTAGAGGAGCAAAGGAGGGTGCTTGAAATGAACAGAAGACAACCTGAACAGTGCTTATACTTTCAGCTGACTACAGACTTTGCTAAAAATAACCAAACAAAAGCATCACTAAAATACAGCACGCAGATCTTTTCCAAAACAGACCAATGTCTGCAATCCTAACCCCTCTCACCTCCACCTAGCTTCAAATTCAACATCACTGTTTTCCTCACACTCACTTTTAGAATTACATACATCCTTCTGAACATCTTGCCACACAGAAGCAGCATCCTGAACTTCAGATTAAAAACTGACAATACAGAGAGACAGCAGTTTTCTGTAATCATACTAAACACTTCATGCTGCATCAATTAATTTTGTTTGGCACCTGACCAAGAGTTGCAGTATGGGATGAGACACACATGCAAACAACATTTACACATTAAGCTCTTGTGGACATCACACAGCCTGTCTGCTGCATGAAATCTGAGAACAACTGTTATCAAAAAAGCATCAGGAGGGTGTGTTTGACTCCCTTTGCCAATCGATTTATATACCTCATGTCTCTCCTTAAGACAGCACTCAGTAACACACAGACAGCACTCATTCAGAATTATACAGTTACATAATTGACAGAAAGTTTACTTTTTAAAAAGGTCTTTGTCCAGCATAACACCATCTGAAGTAGTCTGAAGAGTCAGCCTTAGCATATCCATGCACTCTTTCAATCGAGGATCAGATGTACGTAATCCTGTAGATTTGAGTGCCTATTACAATAAAACAGTAATTACTAAGTGAAAAGATCGCTATTACAATCAAGTTATCTACTGCTCAGCATTTATCACTCTAAGAGATCTGCCACTGCATCATCAACAGAGACATTGTGACACTTTACTGATTCTTTAGCAATTTCCTTTGGCCATTTTGGCTGCATTTTATGTCAAAACATTAATGTTATTTGAAACCCAGTGGTCCAACTACATTTTACAGAAGCACAAATACCACCGAGGCATGCCACAGGCACAGCTGCTTTCAAGCATACTCTTTTGCACATCAAAGAAGTGAATAATAACATTAATGTACTCATTCTGTTACTTAACTACAGAAACAGCACTGGGGGGGGGAACAATACATTCCTTCCCACAGATAAACATGTACAACAGACATTCTTTCTTTGCATTCTTGCATTTAAAATGTTAAAATAACCTTGCAGTAGTTAGCTTTCATACAACACTTTGGAACAGTAAACTTACAGTTATGAATTTATGAACTGGTATTTTTTCTTGTCCTTCTGCAATAGTATAGAAAAGCAGATCTTCTAAGCTGGGAAGGAGACCTTGTTTTATTTTACTGGAAAAGAGAAAAAAAAAACACCCTTAGATTATTTTAGTGCCTATTTTTATTTATACACATTTTTGCATTATTTTCCCAGGAAACATATTTTCACTGCTACCACTAATTTCAAAGAATGTTTTCATCAGTAAACACAAAGCTTACTTCAAGCAGAAAAAAAAGGTAACATTACAAGCAGCATACATAGATTTTGCATAGAGTAGCAAACATTCTTAACTGCAACTCAGTCACATTTTTACCGTCATACATTTACCACTAAGATTATATTTAGGTTTTTTTGGGAGCAGATTAATCACATATCCCTCTTTTTGATGTTGCCAAGGATAGGTATGTCACTTGCAGAGGATAAATTATTTATAAGATTCCAGGACGTATATGCCTGATAATGAAGTTGAAGAGCATACTGACCCAACTGTTCTACAGGCAAGAGAAGGAGAGGATAAATGTGTAATATTTTCTTCAAACAATCCCATTTTCGGGGCTCCACAGAGAAGTCCTAAAGTCCTTATCCTTCTGGAAGCTTATGTAAGCCCCATCAGTTACCATGAAACAAGCAAAGCCATCTGCAGCATAATCGAGCACCTGAAGCAGGAGTGACTCTCATCACACCTACTTAGCTAAGTAAACCCAGTGCAGATGCACCTTTAATGGTCCCTGTGCTTATCAGTGTAAACACACCGCTCTCCAAGGATCCCAGGTGTTACCTATTGCACTCTGCTTCCCCTATGCCTGCAGGTTTTCATTACCTGCATCTCCATTTCATGTGAAACCTGAAGGAAACCTACCAAACTAAGCAGTCAGATTCCTTCTAAGACAGAAAGTTCTAGTACTGACAGCTTTCCCTTCCCTTTGAAGTTTACAGATTTAACCTGTAAAAAATATGAAAATATTCCTTGATATTCCAAAGCACCCTGCAGCAGGCAGGAGCCCAAATCTTTACACTTGCCCTGTAAGCAGTGCCCACTACACTTCCAGACTGAGAGGGGCAGTGACAGCAAAGGGATTCTGATTCTTTGGTCACCTGAAGTGCCCAGGTTTGTTTCCAGACAAAAAAAGCCAATGTTCCAATGTCTGACAAATAAAAATACATAAAATCAAAAGAAAAAAATATGTAGATAGTAGCTAAAATGCATAGTATGCAGTCTTACATTATTTTAACCATCAGTTTTAAAGGTTTATCTTATAATTTATTCATACTGGCAATACTTTGTTACTATACAGTAATAGAGACACTATTGCCTGAAACTAGAAGGCTCAGTGGCAATTTATGTATTTTTATGCATTTATGCATGTGTTTACAAAAAGTAGGTCCAAATTCTAGTCACTGAAGTTTTCAAGAGATTAGTAATTCTTTGAGTAACAGAACTCAGGGTTACAACTGCAAAAATAAAATGCTCCAGCTAAGCACAGACCCTAGATAGGCCAATGCAATCTTACTGACTGACGTTTAATCCTCTCCTCTCCCAATACTTACACAAGTCAGATTTATGATTATTTTTAATAAAAATCTGATTGTACCCAAATTCCCTTATAAATTTAAGACAACCTCTAGATTGTCCTTGCCTCCCTCCTTTCCTCGTAACTAGCTGTGAAAACCAGTAGTAAAAAATATTACCTCTCATTTTCCAATTTAAAACCCTGTACTTACATACTAAGAACAGAAGACAGCTTTGTAAGCCAACAGAACTTTCCTTGTCTTACAAGTCTAGATTTTTTTTTTTTTAATTTAAATTATGCTGGCTGACTAATGCACAGACAGGCTGGCAATTCAACCAAGACAAACGCTTGCAACTACCTCAAACAAATTACTGAGCAGCCCTTCTGCTAAAGAAAATTCAGGTCTTCCAGGCAGCATGTTTCATTTTCAACCCTTTGGGGACAGTATGTCCAGTTAAGCCAACAGAACCAGAACTACCAACACAGCAACTAAAGCTTTAGGATGTCTGCATCCTAGTTCTGTAGGGAACTAATTTTAAAAGTTATGCTAAGTTACATCATCTACAACCCTAGATATTCATCATTTATACAAAGCATTCAACTGAGCTCCTCAAACGCTGAGATTTCATGTTTTAAGGAATGTCTCTGCTACACAAGTCATTCCTGGACTGCTTAAGGTCTGGCAGAGGAAACTTTCCTATTTCACCCTGGCAAAACCAGCCAGCAAACACACTGAGAAATGTTAACTGATAACCTATTTAATTACACATTTCTGAGCAATTACTCAATTTTACAGCTGTTCCAAATATGGAATTTCTATTTGGAAAGATGCAGAAAAATACTTCAGCCATTTAACCAAGGTTTTACCTGCCTCTCCATAAGATTTTAATCTGTTTTAGAGATGTGCACCTTTCACAGCAGAAAATCTCTAAACGTGGTTTTCATATCTTTCACATCTGCTGTTGTTCAATATTGGGTCACTCAGCCTAATTAAACAATGGAGCTGCTCAGACGACCAAAGCAAAGAGGATGACATTCAATATATTTACAGAAAATGGTTCTTGTCAAATAGTCCATCTTTTGGTAAAGTTTATCAGCTAAATAGGGGTGAAAAGGCTTGCTCTGCAGTTTATCAGATCAGTGATGTCAGTAACTGATGTTTGCTTAACCTGAAAGATGTGTTTTGGCACTGTGAACACACTTAGCAAGATAATTCTGTTCCACACATGGTAAAAAGCTGTTTTTCAGGTCAGGGAACTTGCAATTTTCACAGTCAAATTAAGTGGAAATTCCAGTTTGCCTGATTTCATGAATAATGACTTTTGATACTTCTTTACCTTCTTGAAAAAAGAAATAAGCATCAGACTACTGAACAACTAGACTTCTTTGGTAGTATACTAATCTGTGGACTACAATACTGCTGGACTGGTTTTTTAAATACAAAGAAAAGCCAACATAGGAATTACAAGCACAAGGACTTCACAGTCCTTCTTTCAGATCTTCCTATTGTATCAGTACAATATCTACACCAGATTCTGGGAGGGACTTCATTTTAACAAACGCTGAATAAGAGAAGAACAAGATTAAATTTCAAATAACGTGGAAGATTCTTACTCTGTACTTCAGGATAGAACTGCCAAAATGCAGAACAGGACTTACAGAACAACAAATGATATAAAGATACAATATTGCTAATAATAGTTTCAGGCATTATTAACAAATATGACACCAGTCATAAAAATGAGGTTACAATTACTGTCACAAACAATGGTCCCTCAGGGACCACTGAAGATCTTCACCTATGACACCAACAGTGGGATCAAATGAAGCCTCAGCAAGTTTGCCAATGACCCCAAGCTGAGAGGTGCAGGTGACAAGCCTGAGGGATGGGCCAATATCCAGAGGGACCTGGATGCACTCAAGAAGCTGGTCCAGGTGTGAGCCTCATGAAGCTCAGCAAGGTGAAGTGCAGGGTTCCACACCTGGGCCATGGTAACTCCTGGAATCAACACATCCCAGGGGAAGAACAGCCCAAGAGCAGCCCTGCTGAGAAGGATTTGTGGGTGCTGGTGGAAGAACTGGACCCAGGCATGGGCACTGGAGCCAAACATGTCCTGGGCTGCATGCAGAGCAGTGTGGGCAGCAGGTGAAGGAGGGGGTTTTCCCCTTCACTCCACTCTGCTGAGACCCCACACAGATTACTACAGTCACCTCTGGGGCCCTCGGCACAGGAATGACACCAGACCATTGGAGCAGGTCCAGAGGAAGCCACCAAGATGGCCAGAGGGATGAGCACCTCGCCCTAGGAGGTAAGGCTCAAGGAACTAGGGTTGCTCAGCCTGGAGAAGAGGAGGGTCCTGGGAGACCTCAGTGCAGCCTTTCAGTACCTAGAGTGATTCTGTAAGAGAGATGTGGACAGGGTTTTTACCGGGGTCTGTTGCAACATGACAAGGTGTAATGGTTTTCCACTAAAAGAGGGCAGCTTCAAATTAGATATAATGAAGAAATTTTATGGTGAGGGTGGTGAAATGTTGGAACAGGCTGGAAACAGGTCCCCACCCCTGGAAACATTCAAGATCAGACTGCATGAGGCTCCCAGCAGCCTGATCTGGCTGCTGAAGATGTCCCTGCTTATTGCAGAGGGGTTTGGACTAAATGGTCTCTACCAACCATTCTGGGATTCTATGAAAGCTGCAAGTCACAGTCAGTAGCCACTCTACCTAAGACAGGCATCTTGAAGAAGTTGTCACCATACTACAGATGCTGTATATCTTGGTTGTATCTCCCAACACTTGTCAAGTCATTCAGCAACTGCTTTTTGTCCACTCATATAGTGAGACACTGGTCCCGGAACAGAGGCAGGCAGCCATTTACCCAAGAACTACCATTGTTCAAGAGCAAACTACATATTTATAAACTTAGATCAAAGATAGACATGTTTAGTGGCTAACAAAGTGCTTCTGGTAGAAAAACAAACTAAACTCTAGTTTCAAAACCTTAGCCTCTACAGAAGTAATCAAAGGTCAAATAAAAGTACACTTCTGTTTCTCACATCTCTCAGTATTGTATCTACACTCCATGAGAAGTATCAGCAAAATGAAACACTGCCTGGTTACTTGTTATTCCTCTGTTATCTGGCTTGCAGAAGCAAATTTATTTTGAAAAGTATCTCCAGAATTCATCCCTGCCCTTATAAAAGAGCACTATCACTCCCTTGTCATTAAAAACAAAACAAAACAAAAACACTTCCTTTAACTGTTTTGTGATATTCTATATACCAGTGTCTAGCACTATTGCAAATTTAGCTAAAAAAAGTGACCAATTTAGCTTTCAAAAGTTAGGGTCACTCATGTTTTTCTTCTCCCTCTCACCTTAATCAAGGCCTTTATAATTTAGAAATAGCTTCTACTAAGATAAACTGTTTTATCCCTTTACTGGCCAGTACAAGATGAACACTTATACTGAAAGTAAAAACAAATGAAGAACAGTTATACTGAAAGCAGGAGCAAAAGGTATTAAATATTATACATGTCTGTAACTGAGAGTGTCTTAGGCTACTGTGTTTTAATAACTCAGGCTCAAGCATAGATACTATTGTGTTTTAATCCACAATTCCTATTAATTAAATTTACCGGTCTGTGACCACTCTCAGTTCAAGCTCAATTATTTTTCCTGTCCAAAATACATTAAGTTTCAGTTGGATACACAGTGTAAAGGCTGGATAGCAGGGATAAGGAGGTGGTGGAAGATGTTATGGAAAAAATGCACCAGGGGATCTGGTTATGCAATGGGATACTAGTTATTTCATCAGCCACCAACCTCATAATTTATCCTCACTATGAGGAATTGAACTGTTCTAAATTTCTGTGTAGTCTTTGCACAGAACATTTTAGGCTTTTACTTGCACCTCCTACTCTGTACACAAGGAGTGTTAGGAAAGCAAATAAACAGGAAAACCTTACTGCTGTCTTTTGGCATCATGGGTTATTTCAGTATCCCAGAACCATGACCTTGTAATCAAATAGTAAAAAAATAGTCCCCCACATGAACTAAAAAAGAAAAAAGCTATTGCCAGTGGAGTACACAATCCATTTGTCAAACACCACTCAAATGTTAAGACACTATGAATGGTAAAGCACTGGACTCAGCAGAATACAGACTGCACTGACTTAGCCCAGTTGTCAGTGCAGTTCAGACACCTGTCTTTTGAAGAACCTCGCTTTTCTTCTCGAGCCTGCACTCTGTCTTAATATAGCAATGACTTCCACATGGAATGTACCATTTACAAATGCTTGAAGGAAGACTTTCACAGTTCTGCTTCAAGAAAAGTAAGAATGAAAGTATCGAGTAGCCTGACTAATGTGCCACCAGGAATTCCTGCACAACCTGAAACAAAAAGTAAGTTTCTAGCTTTTTCTGTGTTTGTAACTACATGCCAGATGTTTTATAGAATTTCTCCCTGTTCATTTTGCAGTAAGATTTAAAGAACAAACATCTGACTTTCAAATACATCCTTTTGTCAAAAGCCAAAAATTATTTCAAGTGTTTAACTGGTTTGTGATTATATAGCTTTACCACACATGTAAGAAATTAAAGAATTTCCCTAATTGATGCTAGCTGTAGGAAGCCACTAACAGCTCAGTTTAAGAAAATGTTACCTCTTCAATAAATCACCTTTGCAATATCCTCAAAAACCCACCACAGCTGGCATGCTGTTTTTTTCCTAAGTTTTTAATGTCAGTATTTCTGCTTGAAAACAGAAGTGTAGTCTTTATAAACCACACCTATTCAACTACAGAAAGATATTTTTTTGTTCCAAAACATTATCTAGAGAGCTAATTCAAAGAGGAGACCTCATATTTGTTGAACAAGGGCATAAATTTAGAAATACTACCCGTTATGATGGTGTATTATATTGCACACAGTTACATAACCTGACAGGCATGCATTTTTTAAGGCATCTGACAGCAGAAGTAACTGGTGATGCCTTTAAAGCAGGCTGTACCCCACTGAACCAGGCTGAGTAGCTGATACATCTGGGGGAAAAGCAGGAAAGAACAAGGTCACAGCCTCTCTCCCCACCTGCCATATTGAAGTTCATGCTAAAAAAAAAAAAAACCAACACAAACCACAGCTCAAAAGTAGAACTACTAACAAGCTAAGGGCTGAAGCCTTCCTGACTGGCGTTGTAGAATCTTCCCCAGACTTCCTCTTAGCATTAGACTAACAGAGACTTTGCTCAGTGTCAAAACGAGGTACTCCTTTCTCGGACCTGTTTCTTCTGTCATTTGCTCTTTTCATCCAGGTAATAAGCATAGCAAAGCCTGGGAAAGCAGCTTGGGTTTAATTTGAATTATGCCATCCCATAATCAGCACACAGGGTGCCTACAGGAATGTCATGGGGTACATTTCAAACATATACAAAGGAGAAGTCTTCATGGGGCTTGCAGTTAAGCTGTCAAATTTCTTGTAAAAGGTTTTCTGAGATTCTAAATGTACCCAGGTTCAACCAGCCAGTGTACAGACTATGAAGACAAGGGGTGCTAGGAAATGAATACTCAAGACTTGCATAGTGCTGCAGACTAACAGAGAAGAATGCTCTGTCAAACCATTTACCTCATCATTATACTCAACCTCTGGTATCCACTACCAGGTGCAAAAACTGGAGCTGATACACCTGTCTCCCATGTTTCTTGGGTGTTGTTTTTTTTTTTTAAGGAGTATTTCAGTTTCTGAGTAAATAAATATTAATTTCATAGAAATATACAGCCTAACAATTCTACTACCTGCACATACCTTTGTCACTAAGGGATAAGGACGGACCTCGGCACAGGCACACATCCTGCAGCACCTACAAACATCTGTACTCACCACATATGGATCTGTCCCTGGCTGCACTAGATCACAGAACTGTTAGGGCTGGAAGGGCCCTCTGCAGATCACCCAGTCCCCAGTGCCCCTGCCAAGGCTGGGTCACCCTAGGGCAGGTTACACAGGGACGCATCCGCGGAGAAGACACTGCTGCGAAACCTCCGAGGCAGCACTACGCACCACGCACACTGCCTTTAATAATTAATGCGAGATGACACAGCTTTCGCTTCTCCTGAAAAATATTTTTAGCCAAGTAGAAGCGCTACCAAAGCCACCCTACCACCTGTGCCGGGCCTCCCCAAGGACGGCACCCCCCTCACACAGGCGGGAGGGACGGCCGGGGGTGCCGGGGACGCTGCCCGGGCCGCACGCCGCGGGAAGCGGAGCCCCGAGCCGCGCACACGCCCCCGCCACGCGTGTGCGCCTCCCTCCCGCTCCGAGCCGCCGGCAGCGGGGCCCGCACCGCCCGGGATGGACCGGGCAGCCCCGGGGTCCCCGCACCTGCCGGGGAAGCGCCCGCCCGGCGCGGCCCGGCCCCTTCCGCAGGCACCACGCGTGCGAGTGGGAGGCGGCGCTCACATGGCGCCTCCGCATCATCCCCCGCGCCCGCCGCCCCCTCCACACTCACTTCTCCCCGCCGCCGCCTACGGCCACCTCCTTGCCGCCGCCGCCGTGGTTATTGTTGTGGCCGCTGTCGGCGGGGGGCTCGCCGGGAGTCGGCGACGGCGCCTGCGCCCCCTTCCCCGGCTCCTCCAAGGCGCCTTCCGAGCGGGTGCACAGACCTCGCGCTGACGGCAGCGCCGCCGGGCCGCGGCGAGCGGCGGGCGGGCTAGCGCCGAGAGCGGCGAGCGGCGACTGGAGGCGCCTGGTCCCGGCGGCGGATGCCGGGGCCGGGGCCCCGCCGCCGGCCGCCCCCGGCGGGCCGAGCAGCAGCAGCTCCCGCAGCAGCGCCGAGCGCCACAGCCGCATCATCCTGCGCCACCGCGCCGACTGCCCGCCGCGCCGCCCGGCCGCGCCTCTCGCACCGCGCCGCGCCCGCCCTCCACTGCGCGCCATTGGCCGAACTCGCTTAACTGTCAGGCTTACGGCACGCCCATTGGTCAGCGGGAACGTCACTCAGAGCCATTTCCACACCCCCGGCGCGGGCCGAGTCTCCCCGCGGGGCCGCTGGTGTCGCGCGCGGCCGGCGAGGCGGGAGCAGCAGCGCCCCAAGCGGGCGGAGCCGGAGCGCTGAGGGGAGCCCCGGGGCGCCACCTCCCTCCCTCATTCCTCTGCTCCCTCCTTCCTTCCCTCCATTGCTCTGCGACGTGTAAAGGCGTTGGGAGCGGGCTGGGCTGCGGCGGTGTCGGGTTCAGGTTGCCATGGATATGGCCATTTTTTAAAACTGTATGTTTTTGATTACGAAGTGCACCGCCTCCGCCGCGCCGGCAGGATCACAGAATGCGCTGAGTTGGAAGGGACGCACGAGTCGCATGGAATCCAGCTCCTGGCCCTGCACAGGACACCCCAAGAACCTCACCCTGTGCCTGAGAGCCTTGTCCAAACCCTTCTTGAAATCTTGTCAGGCTGTGACCACGTCCTTGGGGAGCCTGTTCTATTGCCCGACCATCCTCGGGGTGAAACACATTCTACTATCCAACCTAAACCTCTGCTGACACAACTGCAGTACTCAGCCCAGAGAGAGAGAAGGATGCACAGGGCCTGCGTCCATCACCCACCAGGCACCCTGGGAAAGGGCTCAGGGAACAGGAGTCCCTTGGAAAAGCCCTCAGAAGGAATGGTTGTTCCCATATATTTTGGGTCAAATTCTTCTGGCAAGGAGCAGAGCTCCTAAGGGGTTTCCACGTACTTTCAATAAAAGGGTAACTGCATAGCCCATTGCCAAAACTTACTCTGGAGGCTGTAAGGCTTGGTCAAATGTCTGAAGTTTTTGGGTTTTGAGAAAAATAAATAAACCAAACACAAACCCACAAAAATCAACCACCTGGCTGCCTAGGTGAACTGGGTGCGGCCATTCTTCATGTCCACATCATCAAACATTCAATCAGAGTGTGGAAATTTTGCTGCTGCTCACCTACAGGTCCCAGTTTGGGAGCCACCGACCCATAGTTGTGAAGTCCAAAAAGCAAAAGTGTAGCAGAGAAGAGTAGCAGAAAATAACTGCAGGGCTTCAGCACAAGGTGTAAATGTCACTCTTTATATACATTTAAGCTTCTGTCACAGCTGTCAGGATATAGCATTTTGGGAGTCACAGATTTTGCAGTTACTTGGTGAAACTTTGCTCACATCACCAACTGCTAAATTTGTCCTGGATGAGTACAAATCTATATTAGCAAATTTTATCCATTATGGGTAACAGTAGAAGACAAGATTTCCTGTCATCCTACTTCCTCAGTAATGCCAACATGCAAACCAGTTTTTTAATTGTCCCTAGTCTTCTCAGTTTAGGAACCTGAATTTTCGGATCAAAAATGTAAATACTTGTGGAGCTGGGAGTTTATTACTGCTAAATTTCCTTGTGAACAATTTCCCCATGCATTGAGGTTTATTTCATCTGCTCTGTTTATTATGCTTGGCAGAGGTGGGGGCGGAAAAGCTGCAATTCTGAGTTAAAATGCTCTTGCTGCACACTTTATTTGAAATGTTTTACTCTAAAGATACTGATATTTTGTTTTCCACCACCTCCCAGATTGAAAGTTTCAGCTGTTTAGGCATAGTAATTTCCTCTTAAAGACCCCCACAAAACAGAGAAGGTTCTGTTGCCCATTTTTCATGCACTCTGAGATAACTACAAATAGATATGGAGAATAGTCTTGCCTTGTGCTTCCACTTACCCGGCAGCACAAATACCCACAGGAGTTCCCTATGCTAATAAATTGTCACAACAGCCATGAGGGTTTTTAGAGGAAGATATAAAGATAGCTGATAATCTATGCCTATAAAATGAGCCTCCACACACCAATGGTTTTGCTTCCCACTGATCAAGGAAACTTGAAATACCAGTGTGGGATGTGTAATCCTGTGCTGCAGTTACTTCACATACAAAAATGCAAAGTACCTGCATTTCTCATGTACTTATTACGTTACCTATTATATTTCCTGGAACTAATTTTGGATTTCCATTTGCTAAGTCCTTTCTGCCAAGCCAATACTGCCTCTTTTATCCTGCTGCCCAATAATAATATTTCTCATTTTTAAAATTGTGTTATGTAAAATACTCTAAAGATAGAAGTCTCTCAAGCACCTTTTCCATTTTTTCTAGAGCCTGCTGTTCTACGACCAGAGACTGTGAGTGCTGTCTCTTCCAGACTCTGCATTTGGTCACTAATTGAACACACAGTTCTGCAGACACTACAAGATTCAGAATTTTAGTGCCAAGGTGGTTTGTCGGGATGACAGCTGCACTCTTTTCTAAGCCAGCTGTTTAGCCACAACCTGGTGCAAAAACTTGTCTAATTCATCTCTTATACTGTAGGGGGAGAAGAAGTGGAAGAATGAAAAATGTAATGATCTGGATCTTTCCTTTCAGTGCTCTGGTTTCTGTTCAGAACATTTCAGATAAGGTGGTGGGAAGGAAAAGGCTACTACATTCACAAAAATATTTGCCTCTCAAAACAGTACCCCGTGATACCTGACCCTACAGGAACTCTTTAATTTTACTCACTTCCTTTTTAAAAAAAAAAAAATTATTTTGTACACTATTGCCTTATTCCTGTATTTAACCTTTTAGTATTGCCTTCACATTACTACATTAGTCATCTCCTACTGCAGGTACTCTTCATTAAAGCTTTTCTTAAAACTCACTTAAAGAAATTGATCCTTGACTTCTCTCCCTGGAAATTCCCCTGTCTGTGTTTTTAGCTGGTGAGGGCAGAAAATGCAAGTTGCTCTGTGTGTGGGACTACAGCTACACAGCTTGGGAACAATGCAAAATGATAAATATAGTTTCAGATCCAGAAAGTTCAAGGCCAATAGTGACTCATTCACTATTCTGAGAACTTTTGCTGCATAATTCAGGCCATCACTCCTTGCTCCTACTATGACTAAGCCTGAGACATTTCACCCACTGATTCTCTCTCCTCCTCCCACTGGCACAGGTATACCAGAGAGTCTTAATCTAAAGACAGATTTTATTTTATTTTTTTTCAATTTAAAATAAGCCATAAGAAATGTAGTAAAAACAGCATCAAAACCACCACCATTTGCTTGGGAAAGCATTATATACATTAAACCTGTTAAACTGACACTGATTTTTGTATTGATCCAGATGTTGGACTGGGCTTTCCCATATCCCAGCAAAACCCCCTTTAGACTTCTCCTTTGAACACAGTGATATTACTTGTTTCTCTGGAAAGAGAAGACACGCCATCTGCTCTGCCATTCTGTGTTTCACACAGTATCCCAAGAGAATCAGAAAATTACAAAATGGTTTCCACACAGAGCAAAGAAATTTGAAATTAAAATTCCCCATAGCTTTTATTTTGAGTTGGTTACACAACCAGCAGTAACCATAAGCCAATTATTCTCCTTTAATTTCCACAACTATACTTGTTCTTTTGTAAGACAAAAATTATTTGAATTTCAGGCAACAAGGTTCTTCAGGAAAGAAAGAGAAAGAGAGAAAGAGAGAAAGAGAGAAAGAGAGAAAGAGAGAAAGAGAGAAAGAGAGAAAGAGAGAAAGAGAGAAAGAGAGAAAGAGAGAGAGAGGATCTTTTAAATAGGCATTATTTTTAAAGTATTTCCCTTAAGCTATATTGTAGCAACATATTCCAAGTATAGCTCTCTAAAAATAATCCATATTTCAGAGGTTTTCCTTTCCAAAAGGGGCATAGCAGCATTAATCTCCTAGGAGAAAGGGCTCTGAAAGCAGGTGCAAAGAGGTCTTCCCAGTTCAAGCACATACACTGATAACAGCTTTCAGGAAGGTTAAATCCTCCCATCAGATCAGCAGGGCAGATCTCAGATAAGCAGCAGAAATTAAGGATTATCTTGACTACGACATGAACTGTTTACTTTACTATTTTAAATGGTTATGTTGGCTCCATTTCATTTGTTGCAGGGTAATGCTTTCCAAAAGAGAACTAAGGACCAGAGACAACTATTATCTATTTAAGTATTTCTACACATTCTAGCAGCAGTTCCTAAGAATACTCTTTTCTTTTGTGAGGCTAACTTGCTGCACCTTTGGGGAACATTTTTATATTGATTCAAGGGAAAGGTGCTCAGTCACAAGAAACATTCCCTGTTGGATTGTACAGAGGATACAGAACAGTTTCCTCTGAGCCTAGAAGCATAAGCAATAAATAGTTACTATTTAATCTTAGAAAATGAATGTTCAAATGTTTGGGCATCATAGCTCAGAAATCCAACAAGGAGGAAAACATTCAGAGGATTTATTTAACTGGAAAGAAATGGTTGAGGGAGTGACCTCAAGTGACAAGCAATAAAAATAAAATCAAAAATGCCCTCCCTGCATAGCACATTGATGAGTCAATAGTTCAGTTCGTATCACTCACATTCCAGGCAAACAGAGGCAGTGAGGAATTAATTCAAAGGGAAGACTATTTGGAGGATTTTCTGAGAGTGACATGAAAAAAGACTACAAGGGCCTAGGACATTCCTAGCGTGGTTAGCAGACAGCATATGATGTGTTCTAGCATACATAACAAGAGCAAGCAAATCACAGAAGCAGACTTATTGAGGATGACCTGCAAAGACTGGCACAATTTTTTCCCATTACTCTACTGGTTAACCTGCTTCCTTTCATCTTGGTTGGTGACACAGCACCATCATTCCTCATTCTCATTATCAGTCATAGCGTTTTTCAGATGTAAAATCCTTCACACGTCAGAACATCCACCTTGAGCAGCAAACAGAAAAGCATTCCTTGCTGCATCCAGCACACTGCATGTTATTTGCATTACAATATGCCTAAATCAGTGTTACATACCCCATGCATTCCACTCACAGTCACATTTAATGCTTAATTCTGATGACATCTCAAACTGCAGTCTTGATATTAACAGAGGCCAGGGAGCAGGAACAAATCTGGATCT